GTACGAGGGGCTCTAGAAGGGCCTCATTTACATCCAGCCTCCCCCATCCCCTACGTGGACCTGTCCATTTCTGGCTGATAGCACAGAAAATGTTYACAACCTGTGGGAGTTGCAATCCCTGCGTACTCACTGAGCACTCACCATCCCAATACGAGGCTTTTGGACCAAACACGAACTGAAGAGATTCACCAGCYTGCCAGYCCTAYGGGASCAAAGCCATTCGTGTCACTCCTGTCCCGCAGRTGGTTRTGTGGCTGCCAGCGAGGACACCGGCACATGCTAAGTTCAAAGCAGGTAATCAGAGCTAATGCGTCTTGGGAGCTAAGCACAGCTTTACATACAAAAGAGGAGTTTCTGTGTAAGCAAAACACGAACCTGCTTTTCTGTGCTGCCAGTACGGTCGTGCCCACGCCCCAGTAACAACAGAAAAACTGGGATTTTTATTTAACACTCTGCAACATCTGTTCTTTCTCTCCTCATCTCTTGATCCTTTAGACCAAGAAATATGCACGTACACATACGCAAAGACAGCACAAAACTTACTAAGAGGAGAAACCTCTGCTTGAGGGGCTTCTGGGGTTGAACAGAGCCGTCCTGGGGGCCCTTGTTACACACAGCTCCCGTGGGGTCCAAGAAAGGCACATGGCCATGCTGGCCACTACACATGTAGACTTCTCCACCTGTGGCTTGGAAGAAACATTTCGGTTGTGTTTGGGCTGCCAGAGCGCGCAGCCGTACAGGATGTGACCTGAGGAAGTTGGGAGAAGAAGGCTCAGCTCAAATGCTCCATCAGGGCAGAGACAGGACAAAGCAGCAGGACAACTATCCCYAGAGCCAAAYGCCTCAAGGAGAAATGCATYTCTTTGTGGAGGCCTTACGATCTGTGTGTGCAGGGGAGAGAACATGGTGCCAAAAGCACATGCCYGTCTTGTCTGCCGCTCATGCTAAACCGGACCTGCAACAGCCTTAACTCGCTACAGGCTGCTGCAAAAGGGGCAAAACCAAAKAGGCCTTTTGCCCTTCTCTGTCTCTCACAGAAGCCAAGTGAGGAAGACAGAAGCCTTAGATACAAGYGGCACAGGAAAGCAACAAATCCTACCTTTGGAAAGAGCCCCCTTGTAATCCCTTTTTGCCACGGACACTTGGGCCTTGCTGTGATCCATCAGAAACACTTCCTCCCTCCCTCCAAGCAGGCAGCCTGAGGGCCTCGTGGGGCACACGCATCCTGCAGCCATCACTTGGGTTCAGCGATTCCCACCTTTGCGCCAGCAGGGGCTTTTCAGGAGACAAAATCCCAAATCCCGCCCTCTTTCCATTTCCCTTCCCTCTTTCATACAGAGGAGTTTATATTTATCTGATCAGGGGGAGATTCTTGTGGGGTGACTTCCAGGCACCCTAGTGCTGGCCTGTCTGTAACAGTTCCCTGGTTACACCACATAATTGTCCCTGTCCCCACAGAGCAGGTTACAACATGAAACACAGGACACGGCACAACAGGGAACAACCCCCTGGGAGCCCCAGCTGTTTGCAAAACAAAATCCTCAGGGCCTTTTCAGGGAGTCTGGCCTGTGTTTCCTGTTTTCCTGCTCAAGTTGCCACCCCATTCTCTCCCTCTCTCCCCCRGTATTTGCTGCTCTCTCAGCAGGGCGTTACCTTAAGCGGAAGGTCTGTGGTAGAGTCCAGGCAGCTCTCGTTCCTCCCGCAAAGTCGCAGCAAGAAAACACTCCTCACTCCTCAGGCGCCAGAGMCGGCCAGCGATGCTCAGCGGCCGGGCCAGCGGGCAAGCGGCCGGGTCCCCGAGCGACTCCTTTTCCCGGCACAGCCATGTGACAGGACTGACCATTGCATCAACACAGAGCACTGTAGAAGGGCAATCAGTCCGCATAGCTTGTGTCCCTGCCCCGTCACAGAGCGTCAAGTGGTGTCCCTGATGCGTCGCCGTTTGCAGCTGCTTTGTTAGATCTGCCCTAGGCCTTCACGTCCCCACGGGGCGACCAGTCCCCACAGAAGATAGTGGGTGAAGTTCAGCTATCAACCTGGCAGCAGCAAGGCCAGGGCACAGATCTGCCCCTCTCTCTGGTTCTGGTGAGACCATCCCCGCATGCAGCTCCAGTCTGGGCTCCCACAGTGCAAGAAAGACACTGAAGAGCTGGGGCGAGTCCAGCAAAGGGCGTCTGCTGCAGAGCTCTGGTGGCCAGAGCACAGGAATGTGAGGMAGGGCCCTGCGAGCTGGCTTTGGGCAGCCTGGAGGAGGCTGGGAGGACCACGKTGCCACCAACAAGCATGAAACAGTGCAGAGGAAACAGGGGGAAGCTGTGCTCTGAAACGCCTGCTAATGGGGCAAAGAGGACTCAGGACCTCCATTCATGGAGATACCCAAACACGCTGCCACCCGGACAAGACACGGCCTGCACAGTTCTGCTCAGAGGGGCCCTRCTTTCAGACGAAGGTTGGACCCTACACCATAAGGTCCTCTCTACCCTCAGCTATCCTAAAGTAC